CTTTTCTTCTTCTTCTGTCTCCTGATGGTTTATTTAAACTATTTTACCCTCAAAACCTCAATTCCTAAACCCTAAACCCTAAACCCTAAACCCTAACGCGGCAGGGAACGATCCGCCCGTCACGCTGGAGCGTCGATCCTCAAACCCTAGACCATAAACCCTAAACCCTAAACCCTAAACCCTAAACCCTAAGCCTCTTAATATATTTAATTAACAAAGTTTATCTTCACTAATTGATATAAAGAAGCAGCAAAAGAATATGAAAAAGCCCTAGTTGCTTTGCTAGCGCTGCAGCAGACTGCAAATCTGCTGCTGCTGCTGCTGCTGCTTCTGCTGTGAATGTGCAGAGGGTTTAATCGTAATTGTTTATTGTTTATCTTATGAATAACTTAAAGTTTAAACTGATTACTTTGAGAAGCAGCAGCAAACTTATCCTTTCTTCTTTCCTTTTCACCCTTCACGCGTTCTCTGTTATTTATTTTTGCTGCTGCAGCTGCTCCTGCTGCTGCTGCTGCTGCTGCTGTTTGCGTTTGTTGTTGCTGTTGCTTTATAAACCTCTAAGCAAATAAGAATTATAAATTATTTTTAAAAGTATAAATAGTATACGCTTCTCTTCTTTTGGGCTGTATAGGGGCTCTGAAGAGGATGGGACGGAGGCAATCGTTTGTGCTGCAACAGCGGCAGCAGAATCTGCTGCTGCTGCTGCTGCTGCTGCTGCTAGGTTTGCTGCTACCTTCAGCTTGGGCCCAGGAGTCTGGAGAAGTTCAAAGCCGAGAAACAGCAACGATGTTTCCAGAGGAGACACAAACAGCAGCAGACAGTGCTGGTGCTGCTGCTGCTGCTGCTTCAGATGCAACCTTAGGGGCAGGGAATCGAAGCACCAGCAGCAGCAACCCGATAATATCGGATGTAATTGAACTGCAGCAAGAAGAGGAGCAGCAGCAGCAGGAGCTGCTGCTGCAGCAGGAGCAGAAGATCCAGTTTATATCTTCTTTAAAGAGAGCTCTAGGTTTCTTTGTGCTGCTGCTGCTGGTGCTTATAGCTCTGCATGAGTTTGTTGTTCTGCCTAAAGTTATGCAGCTGCAGCACGAGCTAAAGGACGAAACGTATCAATTATCAGACGATGAAGCTTATGATAAAGTGCTAGAGACAGATTCTGCTGTCTTTGCTGCATCAGTCTTCGCTGGTTTGTTTATCTGGATAGCGCTTATTAACTTCGCTAGAGTCCTAGCTGGTGGTCTCCTGCTGCCTCTTCTTCGCAATAAATCTAAACGCCGGCAGCAGCAGCAGCAGCAGCAGCTGCAGCAGCAGCTGTTATTGGGGATGGAGGGAGAGATGCAGCAAAAGCAGCAGCAGGGAGAGCAGCAGGGAGAGCAACAGGTAGATCCTGCTGCTGCTCCTGCTGCTGCTCCTGCTTCTCCTCCTGCTTCTTAAATTATCAACTGAATCGGCAGCTAACCAGCGGCTTCAGGGACAGCTAGCTATGCAGAAGCAAACTAGCTGCTGCACATGAGGGACTCATGCGGCTAGCTAGCTAACCAGGTGCTGGATAGCTAGCTACCTGGTTAGCTAGCTAGCTAGCTGCCCGATTGGCGAGCTAGCTACAGCTAGCTGGCCGCCTAGGTAGCTCGCTACAGCTAGCTATGTGCCTTGCTAGCTAGATATGGCTACCTAGCTACCTAGCTGTAGCTTGCTAGCTAGCTACAGCTAGGTAAATACCTGGCTAGCTAGCTATCTAAACTAGCTACAGCTAGATAGCTAGCAAAGGCGGGGTCGGTGCGAGCAAAAAGGCTCTCCGTCTGTATTGTTTGCATGCAAGCATGAAGCAGGAGACACCTTTTAACCTCTTCTCAAAGTGATATGACGCTAAGGAGAAAGACCTGCTACATCTGCGCCTGGGATCGGAGACGATCCCCTGGGGATCGTCACCTGGAGACGATCCCCAGCGGACGGCCCTGAGGTGTCGTTCATTCTTCTGCGCCCACGCGATGCCGTATACAAACCAGCAGCGAATGTTGCTGCAGTCTCCTGCAGCAGCTACGGCAGTAACAGCTGCTGTGCTGCTGCTGCTCCTGCTGCTGCTGCAGCAACGCTGGAGCAGCAGCAGCAGCTGCTGCTGCTGCTACAGAACCGCAAGCATGCTAAACCACAATTTTTATTTGCAGGTTTCCCGATGTTGCTTGGAGTAGAGGAGTTTGCTGATAGCTCGGCTAGCTGGCCATCCAGTTAGATAGCTAGCTAGCTAGCTAGCTAGCTAGCTAGCTAGATGGCGTGAGGCGTCTCGTTGTTTGTCAGTTGTTTGTTGGCTGCGTCTTTCGCCGTGTAGCTATCTGCCTAGCTAGCTAGCTACGTAGCTAGTTACTAAGCGTGTAGCTACACACACACAGCTAGCAGGCTAGCTAGCTAGCTAGCTACAAAGCTGTCTAGCTTGCAACATAGTTAGCTGGCTAGCTAGCTAGCTACAGGGCTAGCTGGTAGCTAGCTAGCTAGATAGCCAGCTGGAGGTCTAGCTTATCACATAGCTACCCGGCTAGCTAGCTTGCTGCCCTGCTGTTTGTCAGTTGTTTGTTGGTTAGCGAGCTAGCTAGCCAGCTAGGGGACAGCTAGCTAGCTAGCTAGCTAGGGGATAGCTAGCTAGCTGGGGGGTACACAGGCATTGACTGGGGTTTTCATTTTGTTAGTTAGTGGCCGGGGCAGGAGTTTTCTTGCGATTGTTCTTTGTTTATTTGTTTTGTTTGTTTGTTTGTTATTTATTTTGTTTTGTCATTTGTTTATTTTGTTTGTTTATTTTTTATTTACTTTGTTTGTTTGCTGTTTGTTTTGTTTTTAATGTTTGTTTGTCTTGCTTGCTTGTTTGTGTTTGCCTGTTTATGTTTATTATTTATTTATTTATTTATTTATTATTATTATTATTATTTGTTTTTTTGCTTTTGTTTGCTGTCTCCATCTTGTGTGTATGCAAAGCGATGAGTTTTGTGTAACACCTGTCTCTGTCTCTGTCTCTGTTTGTGTCTCCTTTCTGTCTCCTTTCTCTCTCTGTTTCTGTCTCTATCTCAGTCTCTGTCTCTATCTCAGTCTCTGTCTCTATCTCAGTCTCTGTCTCCTCTCTGTCTCCTCTCTGTCTCTGTCTCCTTTCTGTCTCCTTTCTGTCTCCTTTCTGTCTCCTTTCTGTCTCAGTCTCTGTCTCTGTCTCCTTTCTGTCTCTGTCTCTGTCTCCTTTCTGTTTCTGTCTCTGTCTCCTTTCTGTTTCTGTCTCTGTCTCTTTTCTGTCTCTGTCTCTTTATCTGCT